CACTGCTTAGTTTTACAGTTTGATCTCAGTTTTTTCACCCTTTATTTTCACAGTACAGGAAACAGTAAGGCACAGTACTGTTCACAAATTCTCATATTACAGCCAAACAGTGCACTAAAATATGTCTCTGAAGACATTTTAGGTTAGAAACAGACAATACAGTAACATAATGTTGGTCTGTATTTGATCAACACTGCTGAGCTTTACAGTTTGATCTCAGTTTTTTCAGACTCCATTTTTACAGTACAGGAAACAGCAAGGCACCCACTTCCAGTTCACAGATTCTCACATTACAACCAAACAGTGCACTAAAATATGTTTCTGAAGACATTTTAAGTTAGAAACAGCCAATATAGTAACAGAATCTTGGTTCATATTTGATCAGCGCTGCCTAGTTTTACAGTTTGATCTGAGAGTGAGAGGGGTGGATCTCTCTCTCTCAATCTGCTTCTGTACTCTTTATTTTTGAGCATAGTGGAAGGCAAATGAAAAAAGAAGTACAGTCTGTAGTTTGAGCAACAGCCCTAGAGCCAGTGAAAGTAATGATGTGAGCTGAGAGATGAGCAGGGAGATCTGGGCGCTGGTAAGATGGAGGAAAGTTTACAGATAGTTCATTTACGCATACTGTTATGATACAAAGCTGGTTTAAAAACTGCTAAGTATCCCTTTAAGAGATGATAAAGGGTATGGTGAGAGTGTTTGGCCACAGATTATCAACAAATTATTTTCTGTTGGAAACATAATTTGGTAACCATAAATAAGGTGAGTCTTAGAACCATATTTCAGGAATTTACACCACAAAATGTTGTGATACACTTAATCAAACGCTTTTGAAACATCTAGCAATATGGTACAAGTAAATCAACTGCTGTAGATATTTGGTCCATCAGATGAAGTAAAGGCATGTCGGTGGAATATCCTCTCATTGCCTTGATTGTCACATGCTTGCAGCTCCTGACATTGCCCCCTCATCGCCTTACCTGTTCTCATTTCACTCTCCATAGGCTGTTTGGTGCACGGCGCTGCTAAAAAGGTTATCCTTTCCCCGTGTTGTGTTAATTGTCAACAAAAGAGGCTGCAAGACTCAGGGGTTTGAGCTGGCACTGCCACTGTGCTCTCTTACTGTCTGTCTCCTCTACATTTCTCTTTTAGTCTTCTCCATTGCAGAGAATTACATCTTCATCTCACCCGCATTCACTCATCCTTCGTCTATCTCTCTTTTGTTTCTCCCTCCATCCAGAAGCTCTTGCACGCACTGTTAGCATAGCCACCCGCTTTTTTTTTTTTTTTTTTCATCTTACACACATGGCTGCCCTGTTGACTTTGATCCTCAGATCTCAGTATCAAGGGACCATTCACTTGCTCGCCTGGGGGAGGTGACAGAAATGTCTGTGTTTTCCTTCTGTGCGCATGAGAGAGAAAGAGGGGAAGGCGGGAGGAAGAGAGCGAGATGCAATAAGTGGAGAGTGAGAGATGACAGAGCCTGTGATCCAATATTTTCCCCTCTGAGGTTTTTGGGATGGCTTCTCTGTTCGGTTGCTCTGTGACATGTGTGACACGAATCTAATCTCTTTGCGTCTTTGTTGTTGCCTGGCTGTCTGTGATCCTCTGTCTCCTATCACTGGACTCTTAGCCACAGTGATGAAAACTATTGATGTCACCAGTCATTTGTTTGCTCGTCCATTCAGCCATTCAGATCCAGGGCTGTAATTTAAAGAATCAATAGCAAGCTGATGGAACTATGCTAAACTGGCTCTCATCCTTTGAATTTGAAGTGACACGTGTGAGCGCCAGTGGCTGCTTTGCCTCATTTGTCTATGTTGCTCCAGTCTTCCCAGTGCCCTTCTCATGCATAGTTTCCCCTTTCTGTTATAAAATGCCATCCGCACCTACAAATTACACCATAATTACAAGTAATAAATCACATCAGACGTAGTTTCAAACACAACAACATCAAAATTAAACTCCAGGGTGAAGAAAATGGTGCTCTAGCTTCTAATTTGAAAGGTAAGAATGTGTTTCTTGGAGCCTAGTAGTAAGATGTCATGTTTTCCTTGCAACCATATCAGTTGTAGTCATCAGCACCAGCAGGGATCTCCACTGTAGTTCCAACATATTGATCCATTTAGTGTGGCCGAGTACGACACTGATAGGAAACCCTGTGGGTCAAAGCGTTGACAATCAGCGCGTCCACCAGCAGGCTCCTGTTCTGATGTCTTCCGCTAATGATGTCCACTCCACACCGATCACTGCCGTACTTTACAAGACAAATTATCTCCCCGTCAAATAGCTAATTTGGATTAGTGTCACTCCTCGGGATCTTGTTCGACCTCTGCTTTCTGATGAGCTGTTTTTTTCATCCTGTTCTTCCTCTTGTAACACTGTTTGGTTTTCGAATTGAGCAAATTGGCTTTACACTGAAGTGCTGAACACACGGAGAGATGAAAAGAGAAGGTGTGTGTTCATCTGACCACCCGTCCATCTGCTCGCGTGCTTGTGTTTGTGTGTTGCGGTGAAAGGTGTCCAAGTGCCTGCTAATAAAGGCTTAATGAAGTGCCACGGAGATATGGAGAGAACTGTCCACACTCACAGATGTGAAACTTAATGAGAGAGTGTGGAGCCATGTGCAGGAGCCAGGAAAGAGGATGACCACCTGGCATTACGCGAACATGAAGTTATGGAGGTGTTAGATGTGTGTGTGTTTGAGGCTTTGATAAGGAGTAAGCGAACAGTTAGTCACTATGTGTGCAGGATTTCTGTTGTTGTTGCTCTACCTGTCTCATTTGCTTTTCACCTGCAGATGGATGCAAGTTTAAAATGTTGTGACTGATCATTAATTGTGGGCTATTTAATGAAACTGTTGTACTGTATAATGCGCGAAAAGAGCAAGGGTTGCTGCACAGATTTACATTAGTGTGTTAATCAACAGCTAATCTTGCAATAAGCAGGCGGTTGTACAGTTAAGTCTTCACATTAAGCCTCATTTCTCTTATTTCAATTAACTAAAAGGAGGCGCTTAGAGGAAGCTTAGGAAGCCAGCTGCTGGCTCTGTAGCATTTCGACAGCTCATCTCTCCCTGAGTCCTGGGTAGCATTAGTCTCTCTGCAGGGAGTCCTGCTGCCAGCTAGCTATAGCTAGCCACCATGGGCCCATTCTTAACAACACACCTTAGCCTCAGGTGAGAAAGTGGCACTGGTGTACCGCTGCTGATAGCTCTCATTAGTCTCTGGATTACCCCTGATTAGCCTAGCCATTACTCCCACTGATACTCCATGCTAATGCTAATTACGCATTTACCGCTTTACCCTTTCTAGACAACCTGTGTGCCTAGCTTTATTAGCTTTATATTTTCCCATGACTGTTTCTTGGCTGCAGCCCCAACACCAGTTGCACAGTGTTGCATTTTTCTCTTCAGTGACTGAATGTAAGCAAATTCAGCAGGTTTTTATCACACACTCGATAAAGACTGGAGATAGGGATGCTGCTATTTGGGCAGAAAATAATCATCAAACGTGTGTCAAGATAGGGTGCAGCGCCTACCTGAGCTGACAGTAATCACGAATACAAGCTGTTCTGAAATGAAAAACAATGCGAGAGCATAATTAAGGGGGAGGAACCTGATTTTACGCACGGTCAAGCATACAGCTTTGTGGCAGTTTAACAAAAACAGAGTTAGCTGGCAGATCAGAGCTTCGACTTCATTCCACATGAGCGTTCCTAAAGTTAAGCCACGATGAGTGTGACATTAAAGCAGCGTGAAGGCTGTCACAGGCAAGTGACAAAGTGAAACTGACTTTGATGAGATTGAGATGAGGCAGAGGAGCCTTTAACTCGCGCAGTCCTTTCATCTTCGTCATTGTCAGTAGCGGCTAGGCGCGGAGGGTGGAGTGAGGGGATGGACAAGAAAGGTGGAGGAGAAGGATGAGCAGATAAGTGCGAGCAGAGCAGGAGAGCAGCGCAGGGGGGTTGAAGATTAGCGGTGGCTTCTGTCGAAGTGGGTTCCATGCTGATTTTCAGTGGCAGCTGTACATGCTGACTACGACTCTCCGGAGATGCTGACACAAATCCAAACTGATCTGCTCGATTTTGGTGAAATTCAGCTCTCACCAGTCTCACAGTTCGCTGTATGTCTCTCAGCAGCTCTGTAAGCAAAAAAAAAAAAAAAAAAAAGAACTTAGAAACTTGTGTGGACTCAGCCATCTGTTTGCTGTGGACACGGTGCTGTGTTTACGTACAACCACTGCCACTGCTGGGAGAAAAAGCCTCCCTGGGAGATGCTGATGTACCTGAGTGGACATTTTGACCCCAATTCACCCGCAGGCTGCACTCTTCGTGGACAGAAATGTCTGACTCTGACAGGTTACTTCATGTTTCTTATCAAACCAAGCTGATTTATGTTAACCTCAAGCAAACCAGCAGACTATGAAATATGATTGCAAAGTATTCAACTATAGGCTCGTATTGTGAGAGAGGAGAGGACACCATTTTTGTAAGATAAGACAAACACAACCTGTTTTCCTTCACTTTTTTTGAAGCAAAACTACATTTTCCACCTGAGATAGCAGTGCTTGCTGGCCTGGATGCCAACCAGAGTGTGGTCAAAGCTTATCTCTGTCCTTTCTGCCAGTAGAAAGTGCCAGTCAGCTCCTTTCATTGGTTTACTCATTCCTTTTAAGCCCTTATGCTGGTTGTGCGAAGTGTTATTACAGATTGCTGCTCCTCAGATTTGTCTCTCTAACAGTGACCTTCACAGGTGACCTCAGAAAAACGATTGGCAAGAACTCATCACAGGCTGTTTTTTGGGGTCAGTTGGTTTTTTCCCCCCCGGTACTTCAGTTTGGCAGCAGCGAGAAGAAAGTTTCAGTTTGAGAGGGCAGATTAGGACAATTGGTCCTGGAGTGCTTTTAGGAACTTAAATGTGTTGATGTTACACTAATCAAATCTCTTTTTTCTCCCCTCCCCCTTCCTGCCTCTTTCCCTGTCTGTCCTTTTCTCATCAGGTGGAGCGAGAAATAGCTATTCTGAAGCTCATAGAACACCCGCATGTCTTAAAGCTACATGATGTCTACGAAAATAAAAAATACTTGTAAGTATCACCAGTGGATTGTGGTCCACTTTTGATTTATGCTTAATCCTAAATATACTGCACGCACTGAATGATTGTTTGTATGAAGACTTTTATGGCTCATGTATATCGTTATTGTCAAGTGCTCTTTTGGAAACTGGAACAGTCTTTAAAACAAGGGCGCAGGTTGCATGTGGACGGTAGTGACATGGCCCTACCAGTTTTTTGGGAGGACAGAATTGTCCCTACCAATATTTGAACAAACCTGTTCATATTATCCACATACTAACAGCTCTGTGTGCGGAAATTCGGGACAAATCGTATCTTGTAGTGATTCAGTAGGATAAGGAACAGTGAAGCCCGTGGGAAAATCCCATAGGCGTAAACTTTTATGACTGATTAAAAGTGTTTTCATTTAGTTCTGTTGTTTTTTTGTTCATTTTATCTGTATTTTTTTTGGTATCTTATTTTTGTCTTGAAACATAATGACTTTATTCCAGTTACATTACAGGTTTATTTTGGTAATATAACAATAATTCTCTCAAAATATCATAACAGTAGCCTCAACTTGTAAGAGAACACCGATAAGTGATATATGTTTGTGCGGAAAGTTTTGAACATGAGCAGAAATCTTGCTGAAACGTATTGAGATATTAAAGTCCAGGGGATTATAAATTAAATAAATGAATTTATTTACCATTGGTGTGAATAGGTGTCACATGCACATTTACTTCCCCAAACAAAAGACACAAAGGAAAATGGAAGAGTAAAATATGCATAGTGTCAATGTGTGTTGACTCAACAGAGATAACATTGAATGAGAAAAGGCGATCCACAGGAGAATAAATATTTGAAAGCAATACAGAATGCCTGAGAGCCTTACTGAATATTATTTTATTATAGCCTGTTTTTATGTTTTGAATCATCGGCTGAATTTTGTGGGGTTTTTTTAAAAACTGATGCATAAAACTTCACCAGAATGCAGGACATGAAGTATTGGACGCTCAAAATTTCCTCAAGGAGGCCCCCACACCCTCTGCTTAATGTGTCCCCCATTAATGTTGAAATCAAACCTGCTCCCTTGCTTTAAAATACCACAGATTGTTTTGCTGGCCCCGCAGAGCAGTTATGATTGCTGTATTATGATTGGAGGGCAGCAATGATAGCCTTGGAGGGGCTGATGCTCCATTAGTATTGGCATGAAGCATTTAATTTAGCCGCACACGCTAGGGGACTGCTAATAGGGAGAGGAAGTCTGCGAAATGTAAACACCATGACACGCTTATCAGAGGCAACACCATTGCATTAAGAAACATTAGCCGTGGGGAGTGGCAGCTGCATTAGGCCGCTGCAGCCGCTGCGTACGCAGGCACACACATAAATCTATTAGCGAACTTTAACAGCGGTGAGTGACAAGCCCATCAGTAGCTTATAGTAGCCCTCTTGATCCACAGAGGACTGTTTGTCAACTAAATTCAATTAGTTCTCATCTTGAGCTTACAGGCCAAATGGGATTGGACATGCAGTACTGTACATGTCATCCTTTAAGATGATAGGAATAGCAGAATATTGTGATTCATCGTATAATTGGATTATTAAAATCACTTTTTGTGCCTGTTGCTTCATCACTTTTGACAGTTGGTCACTAGTAGCCTCCCCGAAGACAAATTGCTTTACATGTGAATCACGAGTGACTTGAGTGCACTCGGCGCTCCGCATCAGTGATGTCTTCTTTTAGATGAATATTGTTTAGTCTTCCTCAGATATCTCCACTTCAAAGCCAATAAATGATAGACACACTTTTGAGCAAGCAGTCCCAGAGCTTTTAAGATTTATTATGCTGCTGGCACAGATCCCACCACAAGCTGTTTAAAATGGTGTGGTGTGTGTGTGTGTGTACAAGAGGTGAGGGAGACATAGAAGGAGTTTGATACATAGCCCACCAATATTTTATTTATGAATATTTCATTGCTCGAAATGAATGAATGATCACACCATGATGTTGGTATAAATTATGCTTTTGAGAATGAAAAATGGTTGCTGAAAAAAAGCTCATAACCCATATAAGTACACTTGATTTGTAACAGTGTTGCTATGAGCTGTTTTATTTCAGCTTTTTGCTGCAGTTTTGAAAAGGTAACAAAATAATGAATGGTAACACATGCAGGACAAATCCTCTTAAAGACCTATTTGTGTTTGCTGAAATACCATATGGAAATGATGAGCCCAAAGTCCCACATTCACAACACACATTGCTGAAAATGTGATGATGTTTCTTATAAACTGTGATTTGTGACTTTCATAAAGAAAATAACTTTTTTTCATATTTGCTGAAACTGTCGCCTTTATTCACACAGCACTAAATGAGACAGATAATCTGTGAAAAAAAATCATATTCCACTGTCTACTCTATTGCCTTGTAGCATTTTTTAAACAAATTTTGGACCTATTTTGCCTTTATTATAGTGCAGCTGGAGACTGACAGGAAAGTGGGGATAGAGAGGGGCAATGACACACAGCAAAGGGCCGCAGGTTGGAATTGTACCCTGGCCGCTGCAAAGGACTAAGCCTATACGGGGTGCACACTCTACCAGATGAGCTTTAGGTTGCGCCACCTTGTGGCATTTCTAATGGCATTACATCATGTCAGTGAAAACAACACATCAGAGCTGAGGAGTCTCTAACGCAACTGTCAGACATGTGAATCAGTGCTCACAAACTGCAGTCAAACCATCAAACTAAGCAACGTTTATCATGTATGGATCAAGATTGTGTTATTGCATTGTTTATTTCAGTCAGGAACACTAGAGAAGACAACTTTTATTTCCATTTGCAGTATTATATTTGGAGGTATGGCTCTGTTCTGGGGCCTCTCTGCCTTTCCTCGGGTTACGCAGAAAGCCTCTTCTATGCGCCTACATGGAAAGCCTGTGTGGAAAGCCCTAAGGTGGAGAGAGCACACCTCTCTGCCCTTCCATGTGCAAATGAGGAAAGCCTTATGCAGGGAGAGGGAGTAAACTTCCCTGCCCTTCCATGCACCTACATGGAAAGCCTAAGGCAGCAGCAAAGACCCCCCAGGAACAGAGAAGAGTAAGCATAAAGGGAAAACAGAAATGACACTGATAAGTCAGATACAGCATGAAAAGGAGGAGGCAGGTTGCAAAGCATCTTGCAGAGGAAGCAGCAACAGTAGGCAGGCCAGAGCAGTTTGAATAGGGCACCCTGAATGAGATTTGCCAATTGGTTGCATAAAAAGGAATCATGTGATCTATCAGCTGACTCCCTTCCATCAGTCAGCTGCTGTAGCTGGGATGTGAGCTGAGCTTGACATCGTGTCTGAACTGACGCTGTGCTCAAATTCTGGCCTCAAATGTTTTCAGAAACATATTTTAGTGCACTGTTTAGCTGTAAAAGGAGAAAGTTGGTCCGGGCAGTGGGCGGTGCTTGGTACTTAGGTCGACATTATACAGCTAAATGGTACACTAAAAATACGTTCCTGAAAACATTTGAGGGGAGACATAAGCAATGCAGTAACAGAATTTTGATTCACATTTGATCAGCACTGCCAAGTTTGACAGTTTTACTGCAGTTAACAAGCCGTGATTGACATGATTGACAGTTCAGTTAGAGACTCCTTAGCTCTGATTGGTTGTTTTTTTGGCGTGTTACAGTAGATTCTGGCAAATGCGAAGCAGTAGGAGAAGGAGAAGGGGTCTCTCTCTCATGTACTTCTTTCAGAATATAGTGATAGATTTAAGCAAATAAAAATGTCACCAACTCTAGCTGTAATAGTCACACTATTAAAGACAGCGAGAGAGCGAGAATAAAGTATATAGCAGTTAATTTAAAGTGGTACTCCAGTGATTTAGTGTTGCACTTCTATTAAGTTGGGGTACTTGCGAGAAACGGATTAAAAAACCATTTGTCAAAGTCTGTGCAGCGCAGGATGAGATATCCTGACCCCATTATAGGTCAAGCTCTAAACATGCTCTATCCTACAATTCCCACAATGCAACTCATTAGCGTCTCTTTATTAGACCATCCCAGCCTGGTAAAAGCCCACTTACCGCAGTTCAAAGTCCACACCCCTGCTTTTTTAAGAGGCTTTTCATTGTAGTCTCTTAGTTGAGGTGACTCTGGTGACATAACTAGTTTTGTTTTAGCAGTCTTTAGAAAGTTCCCTTTCAGTTCCACAATGAATATTATGCAACAGTTTTAATTTATAAAGTATGAGCGCCTCTTTTATGTGCTGCCATTATACTTTACAGTATAATGGAACAATATGAATCATCTGCATTCACCTACTGTGGTCTGGTTGTTATTCAGTACATGCCAAAGATATCAAGGTTTTGTCGTAGCCAGCTTTTTTGGCTTTAAGGGTTATTTAGTGGGCACATGCTCTGTGGACAAGTACAGTTCGCAACACTGTAGTGTAATCAATAAACCTGGGGACTTGCATGTAGACACACACATCCACAGCAGGGAAAGAGAGAGAAGAAAGGGAGTATTTCACCGCCTGTCTGAGTTTCAATTTGTCCTAGTGAAGATGGAGGGAGTTTCAGCACAGGATATACGAGCAGGCCGGTCCGGAGCAGGGGCAGGGCACACACTGGCTCTCAGCCCACAGATGCAGCTTTTGGCCTGGGCCGGCGAGAGATTAATCTCCTACCTGTCCCCTTGCAGCCCCAGAGCAGACTGTCTTCCCCCACAAGCCACACAGGCTCGAAGGCCACCTGAAGAATGGCCGTCAGAAACGTGATGGCAGGGGAGATTGTGTGTAGAGGAATGTTTGGGGGCGGTAAAAGAAGGAAGGAATTACAACACAAGTACTGCATATCTATAGCAGGGAACTTTTTTTCCCAATATCTCTCTTTCTTCCTCTCTTTTGTCTCCTTCGCTTGATTAACCGAGTGCTGAGACAAAGACTGTCACAGAAGCTTACAGCGTCTGCACCTTAGCAGAATTTACAAGCTTCTAAATCCCTTATGTCTAAGAGCTTTTCACACAACTTTTCCATCTTTTTGTGGTGTAACGCAACTTTATCATCCCTCTGACGCCTCCCATTGGAGGTCAGAGTGTATAGTGTATCAGAACCCTTCACATATATTGTAATACACTGTTGGCATGCTTCATTCTCTGACTGTGGGGACAGCTTACAGATGACAGAATGAAAAATAAACTGTCAACATGATATGACTTTGGGGAGATCAGATCATTGATCCTGGGTGTTTTGTCTGTGTATAGCAGCTGTAAGGGAACTATTTTTCCCATATTGCTCCAGTTCTTACAGACCTCTGAGGTCCTGAGCTTTCCTTGTTTCTTCAGTGCAGTTTCAGAGCTCTGTGGAGAACAGGTATATTTCCCTGTCTCTATAAGGGATATCTTTATTTTCTATGTGTGCTTTTTCAGCGGTTATTTCTTGAACTGATTTCCCTTTCTCGTTCTGTCTTTCTTTCTCTCAGGTACCTTGTGCTAGAACATGTGTCTGGTGGTGAGCTGTTTGACTACTTGGTGAAGAAGGGCAGGTTAACACCTAAAGAGGCCAGGAAATTCTTCAGACAGATCATGTCTGCCCTGGATTTTTGCCACAGTCATTCCATATGGTAAGTGAAATGATTCGCATGCAGAAAGACTGGTGGGAGTGTGCTGGTAAAAACACTGAATGAAAACATCCCACCTGTCTCTTATTGATGCTATTCATAGACGCTTTTCACTGCTGGGAGACAAAATGGACAATAAGTGGGGCAATAATAAGAAAGGGAAGATAATGTTTAGGTTTTACTATACATGGATAAAAGTAAGTTAAAGTAAAACAACTATAACAAGTGAATACATTCATTTAATTAAGTGTAATCAATTACAATAGTATGTGAGATGATCTGTCTACGCATAAAAGTAAACCTAATATATGAAGTGGAATCCTGCCTCCATTTTAGGGCTGTACCCAACTCAGAATTATATTGGTCAAATTGGATTTGGTTCAATACAAATATTCAACTATCTGGCCCTCCATATTGAATTTAGAGAGACAGCGACATTTCCATAATATAGTAAACAAGCCAAGTTAGCCCTCATTCATGCTAACCACACTAACAACAGATTGGAAATGTGAATCAGCATCTTTTGCAGACACTAGATATCAAACAAAAGCCAGAGACAGTATTGTATTAAGTTGCTGTCAGTTGTAAATTCACCACTTCTAAGCAGAAGGCACAAGGCTGACAGAACTCTGGGCAGCTGTCTCCATCTCACATAGAATCACCCTGGGTCTGGGTCAACAGCTGCCTGTACTGGAGAGCAGCATGAAAGTGCTCACTCTGCAGCTTAATCTGGGGTTAAAACTCTCCCAGAAGTACGACCGATCAAGAAACAAAAAACGGGGCCCTAGTCCGTCTACACTTACATATCTTTGTCATATAAAGTGGATTCACAATGAATTACACAGAAGTTCTGGTACTCACTCTAACTTTACACTGAGTCACCATGCCATTTTAGACAACAGTGAACACCACATGACTATCTATTATCAGGTACTTGGGCTTAAAACCATAAAAAAAACACCTTCCCTGTCTGCATAAAACCATCACATACATTTAAAAAGACAAAACAGCCAATAAACAAGCATACCCAGGAGGTGTAACGAAGTCAATTTAGTTGTCATACAACATTGAACAAATAATAACTTCCCAAATAATGAATTTTAAAAAGATACAGATTCTTCCTGAAGTGAATCTACAATCTAAATTTCAATCAGTTTATTCATAGCTCGAGAGTGCTGTTTAGGTTTCAAACCAGTGATTCAATATGGAGATTACAGAACTGGGAAAACTTGATATTGCTTGTTATGAAAGTGTTTATTTTTCCTCTGTTATTAAAGTTTCAGCTTAAAAAGCTGAGGATGGTTGACACATGTCAAATAGACGGAGTCAAATATACCAACATGCATCGCGTCATATGGCCAGATAATGCAGCCCACATGGGATTTTTTTGCTCTCATGTGACATAGATGTGATTGTTTTCAGAGCAGTGTGGACACAGGAATATGGCTTTTGTCCAATCAGATCTGGGCCACTGTCAGATGTGGTCCTAAATCTGATACATATCCAATCGCTGGCCATGTGACCGCTGTGACAACGGTATTGGAATTCATGTGTTTGATTCATACATCCATGTTTTTTGCACATCATACTTAACTGTGCAGATGCAGATCACTCATCATACAGTGTCTGGGTGATCAGTTGAAACTACAGAAGGCTACCAGACACTTTCTGACCGGGACAGCTTGCCTGCATGCCATGACAACGTTGTCGTAAGATACCGACAGAGATATTGAAATGTAGCCCTGGACATCCTAAAATTTTGGAGAAACTGTTTCTGTGTCAAACCCTCCACATTGTGGCCCCACTACTTCTGACTCCTCTCCTGGCCGCACCCACACCTCTCTTTACAGACCTACTTATAGAGTTGTAGCTCAGCGTTCTGAGTTTCTTTGTCTTCTCACCCTCGAGCCATTGTTCCAAGAGCTCATATACTCGAATAGTCAATAGCTCGAAAATTTCCCTTTTCACGACAGCCCTGTATCCTGAAAGCAAACAAAGGTCCAATTATGTTATTTTGCTTAATAATTAGCCGTATGCTTTGTTTGAAGAGTGCCGTCGGAGAAGGAGCCCTTCAGAACAGTGGGCAGTCTGCTTCTCAGCATATGAGCAATTGTCATCCGACATCCATAGCAAAACCTTCAGGGGATGAACGTGTGCACAACTATGCCTGTTTTGCAAATGTTCCATTTTTGATGTTGTGACAATGTGCATGTGTGTGACGTTATTGGTCACATGTGAGGCATTTCAGTGCAGAGATTTGTTCACACTGATGTCAGATTATGTGTCACTTCAAATATGAATGTGAACAGTCCAGGCAGGAAGATCAGATCTGGGGAAAAAAGCAGAATTGAGCATTAAGCCCTGTAATGTGAACATAACCTAAAAATATAACTGACTCAACAGTGTGAGATGTATTTCTTATAATGAGCTAAAAGATAGTTTCTCATGAAACATCTGAGACTACTAAGAGTGGTTATTGTAATGACTAAATAATAGCTTTCTAGCACATCATTGTTATGCTTGAAATACAGATGGTTCACTCCTCCTCCAGATACAGTGCTCAGGTATCATTTTTAGAGCTACACAGAAGTGACTTTTTGTTAATACGCAGCACATTTTCTTTACTGTGCTCTGCTCAGTGTTGATGCATTGTATTTGTTAGAATTTGCTTTTAGGTACTTACTAATGTGATGCATTGTGTTTGGCTTCAGGGGGTAATTTAACTGTTTACAACCTCATAGACTAGAGGCAATCATATATACTTGAGAAGTCAAACATGTCAGCGGGGACTGATTCGGAGCGCTCGTTTCTGTGTGTGCGTGTGTGTTTCGTGTATCCATTTGTGATCTTAAAGCAGAGAGTGAAGGTTTTTTTTTTCTTCCTCTTCAGAGAGCGTATGCCTTTGCTCTGCATTTTGTCCTCCTGTGCCTGCACAGCAGAGCACAAGGACCATAGAGCGGAATGAGTTCAAGTGTATTTATTTTTACCTTGGTCACAATTTAATCTCCAGTGACTTTAGAGAAATGGGAAAAAAACGGAATGACGTGATAGCAACAAAAAATAAAACTACATTCACCTGATCAGTCGCAAGGAATGATCATATCAAGGGCGTTAAGCATGGCCAGCCATGCTTTACAGCAGGTGCCAGGTGAAAACAAGTAGAGTACATGGAGATATAAGCATGTAAAATGAGGTGAAACATAGTAATTGTACAGGCGAGAGATGGGACAGAGGTTGGTGTTAGTGTTCCCATTCTGCATTGGTACTCACCTGTGTTATTAGTGGTTAGTCTAATAGTTCTCTCTCGTACTTCTGTAATGTTTCTTTTATATTTATACTGGTTTTGTTCTGTCAATCCTATTTTAAAGCTGTCCTGTTTCAGACCTGAACAAATTTAAGAGTTTCTTAGAAGAGAAAGGTCAGAGTAAAGACCAGATCATGGGTGCAACTCCACTTGAATTATTGATAAGAATTCTGAGGTCACTCATGGGACCCGATCTTGCACCCAGTGCAAAGCAGCGCACATTGCTTGTTTCAGACTGGCGCAGTAGTCATTTTAATGGCCAGCGCCCATGTTGTGTAAGTAGCAATTGTACGTCTTTGCCATATGGTGCACATAGGCATGTAGGCCTTAAAAATGAAGTGTGATCAGGGGCAATGAAATGTGATTGCACCATTACCCAACAAAAACCTGGTCTACAGTCAGAATGGCGGAGTGTTTTCCCGCTATTTAAAGGGCAGGTTATTCAGATAGTAAGATGAGCCTACACAAGGCAATTCCACTCTGCTTGTGAAGCACCAAAGGATGAAGAGGGTGGGTAAAATAATACATCATTAATGAGGAAAATATTAATAACATTCGCTAGAATGTGAACATAGCAGAGAGCAGAGCAGAGCTGCAGAGGTGTTGTCTCACAGCAGACTCTATGAAGACAGACAGAGAGTATTACTTCATTGATTATTTCAAAAGCTAAAAGTTTAATTCTGTTCCCTCTTTCAAGGTTGTAACTGCCATTTTTAGTTTCACTGCTTAAACGTCCCTCGATATTTGCTGCAGTGACAGTAATGCTCTGACAGGATTACTCTCAGCAGAAGACCACGCACTCTTCTAGTTTGCCCAATCTGCCATGTCAATAGCAAAGTTCCAGGTGCAGACACTCCTGTCTTTTAAAGGGATCACACCCATGATTAATTAAGGGACTAAATACACTGAATACTTTTGCTCCTTGCGCCTTACTTTGTACCCAGATTATGCAATGTTTAACCATTGAAGTGGAGTTAGATACTCCCTGTATGTACTTGCACCTGCACTTAAAACAATGCACTATAGATGGTTAAATAGGACCTAGGTTGATTATGCTGCATGTTATTAGCTTGTTTCCTTGCTTCTCACACCACTGTAATATTCACAGACAGGGGCGTCACATTACAAACATTAAGACATCATCATAAAACCCCGTCACAGCAATGGCACAGCACGGCCATGACCAGAGAGGGTTTTATCGTGCAGCACTGCGATTGCTAGCCAGCCGGTCGACTCGTGATAACAATTTATGTGATTCCATCATAACTTTTGTGCCAAGGCTATTGTGACTGAAAGCGCTGGAGAGACTGAGGCTTTTCTTCTGTTCTCTGCACGGTTTAGTATACTTGAAAGTTGATGACGAAGGGGAAACCAAGCCGCTGAAAACAGATATGGTATCATATTCCTTAGAACCTGATGCAGAGTGCTACATGCCTGTGAGGTAGATTTACATAATGTTGCATGGACAATTAAAGGGACATAATTAAACTGGTTTGTCATGGTATGATTAGGTACGGTTGAATTTCTTTGATTTGATAAGCTTTGTGTTTTTGCACATTATAGAGGAGGCAGTTACATCGTAGCCGCTGCTGTAGTGTTTAATAATAAAGCCATTGTGGGAGCCCTTATACACAGCACAAGCTACTACGTCCTTGTGTCAGAATTATTTTATACTTCACTGATTGTCTCGGGACAGTGC